AGGGTTGTCAACTGACGGGATAACTTGGACACCGTAGTCGGCGCAGTGTGTATCTTGTTGTGCGCAGTGGCTTACTGCGGACTGAGCGTCAGGCTCAATGGCTCCTTCTTAGTGTGGCTTTTATGGCGCTCCCAGACGAGAGCCTCCTTAGCGAGATGTGCTTTTGGTATGCGTGTTCAGTTTCGGTCGCGCCAGCTGCCTGCGCCCTCCCCCACCTGCGGTCTTTTCGACTCTTGTCTTGACATCGGGTTCCAGTGTGGGAGCAGTGATGGAGTGGGGTAGATTTAGCGCAAGTTTACTTGCACTATAACCCAGCGATAATCACCGCGCCTGCCTTCAGCTTGCTGAAGCTAGTGATGGACATCATCGAGTGCGACGGTCGAACTGTCGGACTTTAATCTTCACCGGGATCCCGGTGAAGTTACGTTAGGCACAGCTATGACCGCTTATTTCTAAGAAACTCGGGCTACCAAATAGAGACATCACCAAAATGGCTCTTCAAATGTTTTGAGTGATCGTAGAAATACTCAGCTTCGAAAACGATTTCCTGGGACCCGCACGACTGAAAAAAGGAGCATGGTGGCTTTGAGATACTAATCCTGGCAGGTGACGGAATATGCAGTATATTGCAAATTCTGTATGCCTGAAAAGAAGACGACTCGACTGCTGGGACAATACTTTCATTTGCCTGACGTTTCGAGATCGGCCGTGGATCCATCATCAGGGACATAAGCAGAAAGCAGTAGCAGATACGGGTATGCTTGGTCTCTAAGTAACTCCTCATAAGACACATAGTGGGATCTTCGTAAAGAGAATAGTTTGTTCCATTGACTATGAAAGTTAATTTATCAAAGAAATATTAGGATAATCGATCTAGGAAAACTGTTTGAAGGCATAAACGATTAATATTATCACTCACTAAGGTGGAAGAGTTTCTAAAAGCACGAAAGGAGACATGATCATTACCAGTAAGATGATTTTTATTTTTTGACTGCAGTCCTTGGAGGGCTTTTGTAATCAAAGGAGTTTTAACTTTAGACGGGCAGATCATATATAAATTTACAATACCTTGGTACAGTGTGAAGGCCTATGAAACCTACAAAACGACGGGTCCATGCGGGAGGATTGTGGTCAAGCTTACAACATCCTCTCTTATAGGATATTATATTATTTCATTATGCCACCTCGTGATAGAAATATTCCAAAGGACCTAGAATGGGTCGTTTATGATGGTGACATTGAAGAGTTCTATTTTAGAGGGAAGTGATGAAAAACTACTGATAATTACGTGCAAATATTGCGCTGTTTTATGAAGTTGCAGCACCTGACGGTCTATCTTGAGATCCTACACAGGAACTCATACTACGAGTTTAGACGCACATTCACCGTCCCTTGTAGGCTATCGCACAGCGGCGACAGTCAATAAGCCGAAAACGTTGGGCCCCGTCTCTCCTGTCCTTCTTCCCTAATATCCCACTCGAGATTTTCTACCTAGCCGGTGAGAAGAGGGGCATAATTCCGTTGGTCCGTATTCCGCTTCAGTTACTTAACAAAGAGGTGAGCTTCAACGGCCGGAAATACTTTGTCTAGACGAAATGCAACAGGAAAATTAGTTGCGGAAACCACATAAGCAGCCCCGTTACTGTCACAAACAAAATTTCGGTAGCAACTACCTTTTGCAAGTATGTACATCTTTATTTCTGTTCAAAGTTGATTGCGTTCTTGGGTGGCGTTCACCTGCGATCGCTCTGTATTAGTTCGACCACCGCAATTGACGATGTCCACCATATACCCGAGAACAGGGACGGTGACTGTGGTCAGGTATAGTGAAAGTAGACGCGCCGCCATCTCCCCCACTCTGGACCCTATCCCCACTTGAACTGGTGACAAGACAAAGTCGAAATGACCGAGCAGGAATCAGGCGTAAGCCACTTTCTCCAGATGCAGCCAGAAACATCGCCTAACTTAGTCTTTAGTGACAGTAGACTTTGCGCGGGTACTAATTCATTGTCTACCCTCACTCATCTGTAGTAGGTGTAAAGCCAGACTCTAGGAAGTTAGGGCTGATACTGCTACTACCACTACTGCTATTTCTAATACTACTAACTAGGATGTAGCTGAGTGATAGTATTTGCTGGTACTACTACTCACTGTTTTGTAAGTCAGAAGTGACGCTGATTAAAGTCAGCACTGGGCGCATATCCACTCAATCTCAACAAGAAGTGTAGTAGTACTGGTGCTAGCACTGGCGCCACCATTTATCAAAAGTGACGCTGATAAAGCCAACGCTAGGGCTCATACCCCTTTGGTCTCAACAGGGAGTGTGAATCTGGGTTCAAACTACTTCGAGTAAGTACATGCTTGGGGCCCTGGCAATCGCTCTAGATTTAAAAATGGTATCACGACACCCAAATTAGTTTAAGGGTAATTTTAGGGCTGCGTGGCATTATTAACCACCAGAAAAGTATGATTCAACTGCAAAAATCGTAAATCTCTCAAATACCAAACGACTTTTGTGAATTTTAAACAAGTAAATTTAGGAATGTAGATGAGATATACTCTTCCCCTGGAGCCAGCCACGCAAACGACAGTGTAACTGCAGACTGAAAAGTAATACTGCAATGAAAAAGCTAAGATTAGCTGGATGTATCCCGTTCTCTCGCAACGATCGTAATGAGTATCCCAATCGGTGGAATTTGCGGACAGACTTCAGTAGAGGAAGGAAGTGGTTTGCGTAGACAATCCGCATGTCCAGCAAACTTTCCCGAACAGGTTCTTTATTTTATTGAAACAGTCAGCGGTTAGTTGCACGCTACCTGTGCTTCCCAATCAGAGGTACGTATAAGCTGTTTGAATGTGCTTGGCGTCTTATCGACGATTTACAACAGACCCCATTTCCTGTTGACCATAGAGAGACTGAAAGTGTTAGCGGACGAATTAGTCAAACTTCCCTATTGACCTGGCTTATTCTCTCATTTTGTTCCTTTTATCACCTCAATATTTCGTTCCGTTGATTAGGCCCAGGGAAAGAGAATAACAACTACGGAACCTGAGGAGGTCTCCCTATATACACTTTCATATAAGTGGTTTCGTGTACGCATGCATTTGCGCAGAGGTCCAGAGACCTTAGGGATATTTGCCAACGTATCTCAAAGGTGGGTTTAAAGGCTTCTTAAAAGCAAATATTACGAGAGTATAAATGCCGCCATAAAATAGACGTCATTTTCTACTAAGTTAATATGAGTAATTCGCCTTTCTTTTCACTTTAATGAGTTTCTTTTTCACCGTAAGCACACAAACTTTAAAAAGTAGTTTAAAGCTGTCGTACAGAAGAAACTGTGAGCCTTTATGTATAGAGCACTCAGTAGTACGACAAAAATGAAAGAGCCGTGAGTATTAAGGAGGCATAAAGGCCTTTTGTCAAGAATTATAAACCTTAATATATTGTGCCCTGCGGCGGCTATTCTCTTAAAAAAATAATATCACAAGGTCCAAGAAGTGATTACTTGATGAAGGAATATAAACATTTCTCCCACTTTGAACAGCCTGGTATGGCGTTCTGCGGACGCAAACATAATCGCATCCGAATCATTTACTATACTGGCAGCACGTTTACTAGGTAAAAGCTCGGATACGACGTGTTTAGCTCACTTTGTGTTGCTCTGTGACGCAGCTGTAAAATGCTCGATTCAGCAGCAAGTCTTCCATTGTGACTGTTACCAATATAAACTCCAGTTTCGATGCTGCCACTGTTTATTTTTTCGGAACTTAATGTGCAAGCATGGAAAAAGTCCTGTGGAATGAAGCTTTTTGGATACAGGCCGATGGTTACTAGAAAAATTTGAGATTAATGAAATCAAATGCGTTGGAATAACCACTTAATCTTTACGAGCTGCCAACAGACAGCCAGTAGTACACAAATACTGCAAGACCTACCATACACACCATAGGCTTCAGTCAGTATTAGTGTTGCCAGGGTGATAAATTGCTCAGAACTAGCCTGTCGGCAGCTCGGTTATTTGACATTAGCTGATCCACTTCAGCTCAAATGTTTACATTGACTGTCGGCCTGAAGCTAAAATGTGTTGTTTTGAAGTACTAACCTTAAGTTCCTGCATTCCTTTCCAATGAAATTAAAGGGTAAAGTATAATCGCGCCTCCTTCTGTTAAATGTGTTTGCTTTCCGGTGATATCATTATCCGGTATTATTACTTTGCCAGCTTATGACTGAAGGCTTTCGAGTTGGATTTCGACAACAGGGTACTGTCTGTCAGCCTACGATATCTTGACACTTGGTGTATTTGATCAGTGCAGCCGTTTACGTGCGGATCTATGCTGCTGCGCTGTTTACTTGGCGGACAAACTTGTAAGAAATCAACACATCAGTGTAATACAGTGCAACTTGGGCCCACAAGGACTCTGTTAGTTTCTGTTCCTCCAAAGTGTTGATAGATGGAAGAAGAGCGAAAAATGAGATTAGGCAGTAAAGGCTGAAACAACGACTGTCTACGCCACATGGACTTGGCAGGACCCTCATGGACTTGTGACCAGTCGCGGATCGTGGAACCAACGTTAGAGAAAGATGTAAATTACTTGATTCGAAGCGGATAGTTGATGGTGCACCAATAAAACAATATCCCCCAGGAGTTATGATATTTTGCAACACTATTCGGTAACAATAAAGTTGTTCTACTCCCATGATAACCCTAGCTTCTAATCTTGTATTTGCTTTTAGTTTTTATTAGACTTACTCTAGTTTAACTTCAGGTTATTTTTTAGCTTATTAGTTTGATTTTAGCTGTATTTAGTCTAGTTTCAATTTATTTACATGCCACCAAAGCTAGATAAATATATTTTAATAACTACTATATAGTAAACTAACTTAACTAAACTTAATGAAACAAATTAAATCTAAAACTACACTACACTACACTAGACGCAAAATTAAACTATTAAACTAAATATTAAACTATACTAATAACACCGGTCCCGTAAGACCGAATTCTGGAGATAGGGTTATCTAAGGTGGTAGACCAATGAATGAGAAGAGTTTCAAAAAAACTGACCAAATAAAAAGATTAGGGGGCAAAACAGACACAAGAACAACGGTGAGGAAAAGGAAGAACATTGAAAAAACATGGGTCGTATATGTTATAACATAAAAGGCCCAAGTTTGACAATTTTAAAAAAAGTGCACGACTATTATTGCACAGGACACAATTATGCAACTTAATCGCATTTAATAGAGCTCTGATTGAAGCCTACCTTCATTGAGAAAATTTGATCGCAAGACGACAGTCGAAACGTTGACGCCGATTCTGTCCGTATTGGGTTCGGCTGGGCACCGGGACTTGCGGTGGAGGATAGAGAGGCTGCCTTGTTACGGAATACTCGACTAGTTTCTAACAACTTGAGAGCCGCCTTCACGCCCGGGTGTGTGACTTCTTCTGGGAAGAGGAGGGCAAACCCGTAGACCCGCTTACCATCCTCCCGGGTAATGATAAAACTATGTCGAAACGGTGGGCGCGCTTGGCGCATGAGGGGATGGGCTTGCGTAAAGAAGTGAAGGCCGTTCGGCATAACAAGCTACAGGGGATAAATAAGAAAACAAAGGTGGTATGACCTACTGCCGGTCATAAGTTTGCAGTCCATATTCAAAATTATAACAAAACAAATTTTAAAAGCTTTTCTGACAGTTTGTGCATTTTTATGGCATTACACTGCTCCATTTTGTACAACATCGGCCAGGCTTGTAACGCTGCAGGAAAAATGACTTTTATGAGA